CCTCATCTTGTGCTGAGGGGCCGGTCGCTAAGACATTGCGTTTGCATGAGGACAAGTTTGCCGAGATGCAGTGCAGAAGCAGATCTCTGGTTTGAGTGAAAGGATTGATCAATCTGGGGTTGCAGTAGCAGAGGAATTCGGCAAGCTTCGTGGCGAGGTGCGGGTCGGTCTCTGCGAGATGAAAGCCCATATCGAAACCAATTTCACGACGTCGCTCACGCAGGCACTGGATTCTCAGAGCCGTATCTTGATGCAATCCATGCAGGAGCTGCTTATTCAGCAACAGGATCCTGAAGCCGAAGTGAAGAGATCCCGCAAAGAGTCCGCATCGAAGTGAATATGGGTCGTTTTTGCTTGACCAATTGCATTATTCGTGCGGCTAGGTTCCACGCTGGCGTTCTGGTGCACCTTGTCTGGTCCTGTTTTGCGTTTTGGGTTTGCAATGCAGGTCTGGATTGGAGAGCGGGTTCGTTTTTGCATGGTACCTCTGCACGATGTTTCCGTGATGATCTGGATGATTTCAGTTTCCATTTGGGCAGTCGATTCTTGACCTGTGGGGTTCATGCTCGGCATGTGGGTTACAGATTTGAGATTGTATTGCCTTTGGTGGATTACGTTGTTCATCTTTCGAAGTATATACCCAGCACCCTTTGCATGTGCTTGGTGCGACGCTGTTGCACCTGGTCATTGTGAAGACTGTGATGAGCACCCGGCAGATGGCCTTCCAGGTTTGCATTCCTTCTGGATGTCGTTATCACAAGATTATGGTTGGAGTGTGAACGGTGCGCTCTTGCTGGCTCGTCATCGGTGCATGTGCCTGATGGCATGTCCCAACAAATGGCTCTTTTTGAGCCTCTCGTGGATGTCGGCTTTTGCCCCGTGTTACCAAGCACGTCACTGGTGGCTTTGCACAGCTTCGTTCCCCGAATTATTGCGCGTGGTCATTGTGGGGAATATGATGAGCGGCCGGCAGGCAGCTTTCTCGGTTCGTATTCTCCCTGGATGTCATCGTCAGATTGGCGTTGGAGTGTGAATGGAGCCCTTTTTGCTGGCTCGCCACGTCTTCAAGTGAAGCGTGTTGGTACAACTCAGGAAATGGGTCATGTTGAGCCTTTCGTGGATGTCGACCTTTACTCAGTGTTGCGATGCATCCATGCCCTTCCCACCCGGGATGCCTGGGGTGCCTTTCGTGTACCCCCGGAGGACGAAGGGTTTGTCATCCAGATTTCGGTCGACTCCCTTTGCTTAATGCACCACTTGTGGGGCCTTCAGGCGCCCTTGCTTGGTTGTGCGGTGCGATGGGGTGAGGCCGGAAACCCTGGACCAGGTTCGTCACCGTCTAAAGGGCCGTGAGGACGAAGTTAAATCATTAGGCCCTGGGGTATGGGCTCTCACTGAAACCTCATCTCGTGCAAATGAAATTGCAGCGCATAGAGCCTTCTTCAGAAAGCACAAGTTGTGGTATCACCCGAGTGCACCGTGTCAGCCCCGCACCAAACGTGAGATTGCATGTGGCTCAGTCACGTATGGCGGCGTGGCGGTGGTCAGCTCGCGCCCTACGCGGGTGTCGCGTGAGCCTTTGTCGAAATCGCTGGCTGCAACAACTCGTTTGCTGGTTTCCTTCATCCACGCTGGGCAGTGCGAAATCATGTTGATTACGGTTTATCTTCCACCCTCGTCGGTGTCGCAGGATAAACGCCAACAGCGTTTGCTGCTTTGTGATGCACTCATGGACCAAGCGGTCAGTGCAGCCTTTGAGTGGGGAGGTTTGGCCGTCATAGCTGGTGATTCATGAGCTTCATGAGCTTAGCGCCTGGCCTTTCCTTGCTTGTAAGGTCGACCATCAGCGGGTGATCCGCGGCCGCTTTGTCGTGGGAGAGTGGCTGTCAACCAACGTCTTGAGCCGTACGGTGCCGCCGCCGGTGGCAGCGTAGGAGGGTTGGCCCCGAGGCGATGGTGACGGTCTGGCAGCGTGGTGCGGGTAGTTGCGAAGCTTATGGGGCCTCGCAGTCCGGGGGTTGACGCTTCGGGTGACTTACATCGATCACAGAATCGCGAGGACGTCGCGCCGTTGGGGCCGGCCTGGTGGGTGAGTACCCCAAAAGGAAGGCCAACCTGCGGCCTCCGAACGCGCTTGTTACTTCATCGTAAGCTGCCTCCGGGCCGGCAGCCACATCCCCACTGCCGCCTCCGGGGGCCAGGGGCGCAATTGCCGGCGCCAGCGCGCTGCTGTCCAGCTTTGTCGCCAGCTCTGCGGTGACCCGGTCGTCCAGCGACTGGATGGCGGCTGCGTTGTTGCCGGAGGCTGCCGTGTTCACGGCTAGGTCTGCCACTTGTGCGTAGGGCGTCAGCGCAAGGGCCAGCTGCCCTGCGGTGACGTGCGTGCCGTCAGTTACCTCTCCGTTGTCCAGGACCTCCGGGATATTGCCGGTGACAGGTCCTTCAAACATGTTTACATATGTTTTCGCCGACGCCTTAGTCCAGTGTGGAGGGACCGCTGCGGGGACGGGGAGGTGCGCAGGACGCTTCAAAGAAATATGCCCACACTGCTGGAGCTCTTCAAGGGCACCGGATCAATTGAAAGCGCCTTCGAGGCCAGGGGCTGGGAGGTGGTCAGCTTGGACATCCTGCCCAAATTCACACCCACCATCTGCTGCGACATTCTGCGCTGGGACTACCGCACCGCCTTCCCGCCCGGGCGCTTCGACTTTGTGCGGGCGTCACCCGTTTGCACCGAATACTCCCAGGCGCTCACCACAAGGCCCGCAGGCTCCACGAGGGGGATGCGCTGGTGCTTCGGGCCATCGAGATCATCGCCTACCTCGCGCCGCGACTCTGGGCCATCGAGAACCCGCAGACGGGACTGCTCAAGACAAGGCCCTTTATGCAGCGCCTCGGATTCGTCGACGCCACATACTGCTTGTACGGTACACCCTTTAAGAAGCAGACACGCTTCTGGACGAACATGCGCTGGGCGCCCAGCTGCGGACTCTGCGGGCCCGGCAACCGCTGCGAGGCCTGGGAGATCGGCAGGCACGCACGCGCCGCACAAAGGGGTCCCCGGAAAATCGGCCAGCGCTACGAGAACGTTCGCAGGCAGTCCCGTGAGCTGCTGTACAGCATTCCAGCGGCGCTCTGTGACGAGATTGCGGCGGCGGCAGAGGCACGCGAGACTTAACCGGAAAGCCGGCCCGGCCCGGAGGAGTCCAAGCACAGAAAGCACGCGGAAGACTGCCTGCCAGGGATGGAAGCATTTAGATATTTATATAAAAAAAAATCCAAGGTCCGGCCCAGAGGAGTACCGGCACAGAAAGCACGCGGAGACTGCCTACCAGAGATGGAAGCATTTAGATTTTCAAATCCAGGACCCGGCCCAGAGGAAGGGATGGTACGCACAAGGGTTGCCTACTCCAACAATATTGCAGTTACGGACCCAGCAAAGCTTGCGCAGAAATTCACGCAGCCTCACTTCTACACACCGCCTGCAAAAAAAAGCTCGGCGTGCAGAAGTGAGGCTACAAGGCGAATTGCAAGCAAATCGAGGGTGCGTTACGTTGCAGCGCCGTGGCTGCAGGAGCAATTCTGGACTTGAAATTCTTCGCAGGACAAGGTCGTTTCCTGAGCGGACGAGCTCTGCTGGGTCCGTAGCTGCAATATTGTGGCAGTTGGGAATCTTTGTGTATAGAGAGAGGGGTATCCGTGCCGAGAACTCTTTTATGGAGATGTCAGAACCTTCTTCTGTCTGGTTTCAAGACCATTGGAGAGAGAAGAGTTTATACTGGAGAGCGCCTGACTTGTCAGAGCAGAAAATGTGGAGGCTTACAACAACTGTTGTAAGATTGGAAGAGAGAATTAGTGGCTGGGCGCAGTAGACTGGTGGCGCGTAATACTAAACGCGGACTCCACCAAGACAGGGTTGTTTAGCCCCTTCTGGATCCAATCTAACAAGACTTATTCCACATTTGGCAATGGTGTATTTGCATCCAGTTTCAGTGCTTAACATTAAAGGACGCACGTCTTATGTCGAGCAGCCGACTTCTGTTGGTATCGTGTCCTCCAGGTAACGTTCCAGTGCCAAGGGCAAATTTGGCAGCTGACCGTTTACTCTCTGAACAACGAGCAGGGGCAAGCGTTTGGTTTGAAAAGGCAGCAGCCATGCAGGCGGGGCTGTTCATGGAGATTTGGTGTGTTGTTGACATTCATGCAGATGACGCTTTTGTGGGTGGAAGGACCATTTAGTAAGCCTTGTTAGCAGGATGGCCTGGTAATGGTCCAGCGAGAAAGCGTGAAAGTTTGCAGAATTCCTTGCGCCCAGAGATTAGTGACGTAGCAGTACGCCTTGTTGAACCCGCAGAGCATTCAGTTTTTAGGAGCATTGTGGGCAGGCTCTTGTGTGTGCGTCCGGAGTCTGCGCAGTGTGCCATTATTCGGTCGGAAGAATGTCGAAGCCCACAGAGCAAGATTTTTTTTCAGCATTTGCAGCATTTGGCTGGGTACATTGTGCATATCATGATTGGGGTTGTTCTGAAAAGGCAGCCTTGGTCAAAATCCTTGCTTTATAATGGGCAAGAGAATTGGTCAAAAGATGCCACAGAGGGATCACCCTTAGTGGAATGTTTTGCGGATGCAGATTGGGCCGGATGCAAAAGAGGTCTGGAGCAGTGTGCGTTGGAGGTTGTGTTTTTTTTCAGTTTTGCAGATCTAGAGATGCGTGAGTTTAAGCAGCTGTGAATCAGAGATCCTTGCTTCAGCTTCGGTGACAAGGGAGGGAGTATTGATTCAGAAGGCAGTTGAATTCTTGACAGGTGTGCATTGCGATTTGATTTCCAGATCTGACTCATCTGCAGCTCGCAGCTTAGCTCAAAAGGCTAGGAGTTGGACAAGTGAAGCACCTCAGCACAAAGATCTTGTGGATACAGGCAATGGTGAAATCTCAGCAGCTTTCCATTTCACCCGTTTTACGGAAGTGAATTGCAGTGATGTTGGTACTAAAGCCTTGAGCGAGAAGAGAATCTTGGCAATGGCGCATATGCTTGGAGTGGTGGATTCCCACAACATGCCTGTCGGGACCACAGAGTTCATAGATTGCAGATCAAAAGCAGACAAAAGGAAATTGGTCAGACAAGTTGTGCGTGTGTTGAATCAGGAAGATGGAGAAGTTCGAGGAGTTCGTGCTGGAATCACTTCAGTACACAATTCGAAGACTATGCTTATTGGAATTCTTTGCAACATGCTCTTGAGTGGTGCAGATGCAGCAGAGTCAGCGTATGTGGTTTGCTCGTGATGTTGCTTTGTACACAGTGGTGCATGATCAAAATATTGCGAAAGGTACATCAGCAGATCCTGACTTTTGTCAATGCCGAATCAGACAGTAGGTCTGAGCAGCTAGATGCACTTCGAAGTTTGGTGCGAAAGAGACTTGGAGCAGGTGAAGAAGCTGATCCTTTGGACGATGATTCCTGGCAGAAGCAATTGGCCGAGGTTGGAATCAATTGGAGAACTGGAGAGACTCTTTCTCCAGCTACATCGGCTTCGGGTGATGACAGAGACATTGAGTAGCAAAGAAAGGCTTGAGCCCGGTGTTTTTCTTGGTGCGCAAAATATCAGTTTGCGGATGTGGAATTTGCAACTGTGTTTTCCTTGGTGCACAGTGAATCAGTTTGCAGATGTGGAATTTGCAACTGCATTTCTTGGTGAGGTGAGTTTTCGCATGAGATGAGACTTCAGAGAGACGAATGTTTTCCGTACAGTGTGGAGAAGCTTTAGTACGAGCTTTCCGTACAGACTCGTTTGCTGAAGTGCTCTTGAAATTAGAGCAAAAGCAAATGTTCCTAAGGAACATGTCTTTTGAGGCGGGGTGATAAGAGAATTTGAACCCTTCATGCCTCTTAGGAAGAGCCCAATACACTTGTAGAGGAAGACCCTTGAATAATCTTGGGTGAAAGTGCCACATGTGCTTGTATAGGACTCACATGTTTTTGCGCTAGAGTTTTCATGTCGGTTTGGCCTTATGGCTTTGATGCGTGCGAGCCTTTCGGTTTGTGAGAAAATGAGAATTTTCCTAGTCCTTTTCCAAAGACATGGGGTGGTCCTTCAGCTTCTGATCGCATGTTGCGGCTATTTGTTTCCAGAACTCTGCCCACTGGCCTTCTCCAAAGCCAAAAAGCTTGGAAAACACTTCTGGGTAATTTTGGCCCAACGCAGCAAACATCATGTGGGGTAGAAAAATAGATGCCTTTTCCAAAGCATCCTTGTTTGTTTTGGGATGGGTGGAGGGAATCCACACATCAAAGCTGGCTGCAATTTGCACGTTGGAGCAGAACTGATTCATGATCTGCCTGTGCGCATTCCCTGGTTGCGCCCCAATTACCAGTTTGTGCAATTGCAGCCAAATCTCTATGGCTTGCGCCATCTTGGCTGATCAAAGTTGCACTGAGCTGCCCCCTTGCCCAGAGAAACAAAAGCTTGTTGGCCAGAACCGATTCTGCCACACAACCCTCAACCTTTTTCCAAAGCTTTGCTAGCACTTGCTTGCTTTGTGATCCCATTTCTAGTTTCCATCCTCTCCGCCTTTTTGCAATTTCTTTCTAACTAATCCTTTTCCAAAGATAATCCTTTTCCAAAGATATAGTCCTTTTCCAAAGACAATTCTTTTCCAATTGTTATCACAGCTACTCCTGCGCATCTTGAACCAAAAAGCTACAGGTTACATGCTGCGCCCACTGGAACCAATCAGTTTGCAGGATTAAGACCCAAAAAACCTTAAAAAAATACAAGCCCTTAAGGGTGATAACCTGAGCCACCTTCCCGCACCATTTTGCTTGCAACTTGCTATTTGTGCAAGATCCATTCCCTTTTTAGGAATACTGTGCCAAACTACTCATGTGCCCTTTCCCAAAGGCTCTTCTTTCTTTCCTTTTCCAAAGCTGCCCAAAGGCATCTTTTTTTTTTTTGCAAAACTGCCCTTTCCCAAAGGCGCATCTTGTGCAAAGGCCTTTGCTTTTCCACACTTTGGAGAAACCTTTCCCAAAGTTTCACTTGCTGCTTCTGGATCTTTTGCTGCCAGCCACTGATGCCTCCTTGTTGGCCAGCTGCTTCAATTCCTTCATTCTTTGCACCTTTCACAACTTTGGCAGTTTCCTCCAGAAGCTGCTTCACAGCTTGGGGTTTGACTTCCTCCTTGCCATTCAGAACCGTTTTCAGCTGCGCCAACATCTTGCTGAGCAAGGTGGACCAACCCTGGGCTCCAGCTTTGCCCTTCTGGCTCAATCTCGCCTTTTTCAAAGCTTCCTTCAGTGTGTCTTCCCCTTCCTCTTCTTCTCCCTCCTCCTGACCCTCATTGTCTTTGATGGCCAACAGCTCAGACTTCTTGTTGCTTTTTCCAAAGCCTTTGCCCTTGCCCTTTCCATTTCCAGAGCTTTCCCCTCTATTGACCACCACAGATCCTTTGTAGGATTGCAAGTCTTTGTATTGGTAGACAGAGGGGGTATGAGGGTCATGCCTCCAGGTGACCCTGCCTGAGGCTAGGTGGGCCTGGAGCTCTTGCCAATCGAACTGGTCCAGCATGTGTTTCTTTGACTTCCAAGTGTTGTCCTACTTCCCTTGTGACATGAAGGTGTTTCTTGGCAGCTGTTCTCATCAGCCACTCAGCAGCCTTCATGCCTCTTTCTTTCTTTTCACAGGCCGTCCAGCTCCCCCTTTTCATAAAAGTTTTTCTGCAGGTGTGTCTGGCGCCTGCCCCATATCTTTCCATGCTCCTCTTTGGTGAGGCTTTCCTTGAGAACAGTGTCTTGTTCTTCAGCAGTGCCTCCAGTCTTTGCTGCTGCTTCAATCTTGTCATCCAAAGTCATATTTCCCAACTTTTCCTTTTCCAAATTGGTTTTGTTCAGTTTGTTTTTCAACACGCTCTTGGCCTTTGCTTTTGCCTTTGCTTTTCCCGAAGCTGACTTCATCACAGGCTTTCCCAAACCTGACTTCATCACAGGCTTTTTTCCAAACCTGACTTCTTCACAGGCTTTTCCAAACCTGACTTCATGGCTTTCATGACCTTCTTAACCATCCCAGCTTCAGGTTTGAGCAGCTTGACAGTTGGCTATCTGTTGTTTGAGCCAACAAGCTGTGGGCAAGTAGTGCTTTGAAAAAAGTTTGAGATAAATATACCTTAATCCCAAAAGATTTCAAATTGAAAAAGATATGTTTTTGAAATAGGTTTGTGCAAACTGACAAGATTTCAATCTGAAATAGTTTAGAAGTAAGAAACACTTTAACTTGACCAGGTTTCAGATGAACAAAACTGAAACTCTCAAAAATGTGTACAATAAAAACATTTCGATTTTTACATTTGGAATTGAAGAGTTTAACTTGGAAGGACTTCACCAAATATTTGAAAACGATTGAAAAATAATTGAAATAAAAAAGAGTTTTTAAAAAGTTAACTGAACAAGTTCACCAACATTGAATTAACATGAAAAAACTGGAAAACAAAGTTAATTGAAATAAGTTTGGACCTACACCGAATAATTTTTCACAACTAAATTAAACAAATATCTTTGAAATAATACTTTTTCAAACCTGGTCAAATCTGATCAAATCTGATCAAATCTGATCAAATCTGATCAAAACACTACTTTTGATCAGATTTGATCAGATTTGATCAGATTTGATTTGTTGGTTTCAAATGTAAACAACTCTTTACAATTACAGTTTTCCTTATTTGAATGTACATTTGGAAAAGTGTCAGGTAATTTTTCGAAATACTTTGAACTTTCAACTTCAAAATTATGTATCTATTTTTCAAGATAAGTCTTGAAAATGAGTTCAATGTTGAACATGTTTTAGGTGAACTACCAACAAATCTTTTTGGTTGATTTAATTTTGAAAGAGCAAATGTAAAAATTTAAACTATTTTGAACTTTCATATCCAAATTTTGAAAGAATGTGGGGCACACACTTTGACAATATGTTGAGCTTTCAACTTCACATATGTGTTGGAAAAAAACTTTCCAAATATCTTTGAACAGGCAGCTCAAATTTTGAAATGTTTCAAGAATTGTTTTGGGTTTGTTTCAATTCCTTTGCCCAAGCCTTTCTTTGTTTGATTTAATTCTTGTGTTCTGACATGCGCAAGGGGGCCGGATAAAATGAACAAAGCAAACTTGAATTAACTGAATATGATAATGTTTCTAATCTAGTTTGCTACAGGGTATGGTTTACTTATTAGTTCCTTCCAGCCCCCCAACTGTACAGCCACAATGGCACGAACCTAAAGCCCTTTTTCAAAGGCTGCGCCAATCCTTTTTCAAAGGTTGTGCACTGAAAAATGATGAAGTGAAACTGCTGTACAAATTCTTTCCAAAAAACTGGTGAAACAAGTGAAGCTGCTGCTTCTAAGCCCTTTCCCAAAGGCTGTTTTCCAAAAGCTTTCCTAGCCCTTTCCCAAAGGCTGTTTTCAAAAGCTTTTCTAGCCCTTTTCCAAAGGCTTTAGCAATGCGTGAGTCTTGCCTTTGCCAAAGCTGGGGTTGCCTTTTCCAAAGCAAAGGGGTGTGCTGACTGACGATGCCTTTTCCAAAGCTGTTTTGCAATCCACACCTCAAAGCTCAAGGTATTGATCCACAGCTTCTGCAAAGGTCTTGAAGACCATGCATTCAGCTTTCTGTGGTCTTGCTTTGGGGTTTGGATGGCAAAACACATCATGCGATCTCTCAAACAATCCATGATCACCCCAGAGTGATTGTCAAAGATGGCACTAGCCTTCAAGTGGTTACACCAGTCAGCTTTGCCATCCCTCCCCCACTTGCTCTAGCAGGTGTGCACCCCTGCCAGCTTGCCAAAGTATTTGAGGGCTTTGGCATGCTGGTGGACCTTCCTTTCCCTGCTGCTAGACTCCACATAGGAGAGGATGTGGACATGGCCACCTCCAGCAGCTTTTGCAGGGCTTCTTCATTTTCTTCAAGGCAAATGCTTCTTGTGATCTAGCAGCCCCATTTTTTGCACAACTCAGGTTCACAGCTTCTTCCTTTGTCAGATGATCCTTTTCCAAAGATGTCCAAATCTGATCTATGATTTCCAAGTAGCCCTCTGGACACCTCTTGGCTGTGACTTCAACAATGCCACCTTCCTCCTTGGTCCCTCTCAAATAAGCCCTAGGGTTTGACTTCTTGGCTTCAGTCCTCAAGATTTTCACCCAAGGCTTCCTGTTCACCTGCTTCACAACTCTTTGCAAAGGTGCTGTTTTACTACCAGGCCTTCTCCTGTCCATGGCCATGGCTGCGACTGGCTTTGTTTCTCTGTCTGTGGGTGCTGGGCTCCCAAACATGTTTGGGTACCCTTGGCTGTCCATGCTCACTTCACTGTCACGTTGTTTAAGCTTTCTCTCAGCCTGTGCCTTTTCCAAAGCCTGTGCCTTTTCCAAAGCCTGTGCTTCTTCCAAAGCCTGCGCCTTTTCCAAAGCCTGTTCCTTTTCCAAAGCCTGTGCCTTTTCCAAAGCATTTACCTTTCGCAAAGTATTCCCATCCAACAGTTGCAAGCCATTTTGCAGGTTTTCACATTCCTGCCTTGTCAGCCTGGCTGCGCATGAAAGCAGGCCCTCCCTTCCCACTTTTCTCACATGGTACAGGATTGTGCTAATCCTTTCCATTCTAAGGTTGGCCCAGACCTGCCCTGAATTGGAAGTTGTGTTGAGGCCTGGGCCAACAATTTGATCAGGGCTGTTCGAAGTGGCTGGGTATGGATTTCACCAGAGCTTTCCAACCTCAGCAGCCCTTTCCACAAGGGAAGGGTTTGTACCAGACCTTTGGGGTCTGGAGAGTTGCATTTGCTAGTCAACTCATAGTTTTTCAAATCTTGCCAAAATCTGTTGATTTTGCTCCAAAACAGTGAACAATAAGCCACTGTCCACATAGGGACATAGGGTTTGGAAAAGTGTGTGGCGCCACCTTTCCTGTGGCCTTTTCCAAAGCCCGACTCTGTCTCTTCTTCTTCTGCCATGGGCCTTCTGGCCTTTTCTAAAGCCTCTATATCTAGCTCTTTATATATAGATTATATTTCTTGAGCCAAAAACTGACAGTGAATGCATTCATGTTCACCACTTTGAGAACACAAGCAAATCAAAACAAAAGAAATCATTTAACAAAACACTAGTTTACACACACCAAAAACGCATTCACAACACTTGTAAATCTCTTCTGATTTTCCCGACTTTTTTGAAGATCAAAAAAAATCATGGTCATCCTTTTGCTCCTAATCAAAAAGCGACGCTCAGGGCGTACCAGGTCCTGATAATAATCGACAAACAGCTCCACAAGTCCCACGGCGCCCTTGACACGCTCTTCATCCAAGGCCGGCGCACGCAGATCAGCGCCTGGGTGAGCTGAGGCTCATCAGCGCCGCCGTGCGGGTGAACATGCAATTCTTCTGCTGCTGGAGGCTGCGCAACCAGCACGAGCTGGACGCCGTCATGGAGGAGTTGAGCGCACTGCTGCCGAAGGAGCAGCTGTACCGGCTGTACGAGCAGGCGATCCGAGAACCTTACAGCTTCCTGTTCGTGTACTACCTGAAGCCGAAGAACGAAATGTTCTACAAGCGCTTCGAAGAGCGCTTCGCACTTGAAAAAGACGCCGATGGGAGCGGCGCTCAGCTTCCTGGGCCAGAAGCTGTTCGCCAGCTCCACGCTGATCAACGCGAAGTGTGAGAACATCTCCTGCTGCACGTCCAGCCGCCCGTCGTCCGCCGGACCGTCTACAAGATCCGCTTGGCCGACAGCTTCCTCTCCACCGACCGGGGCCGGTACCTCTACTGGGTCGACGCCGCGCTCGGCGCGCTGAATTGGGCGCTGCCCAAGGGCGCCTACACAGCCGCCCGGCTGGCTGCCTGGATCAGCTCCAACTTCGCCGCCGCAACCTATAGCGAGACCACAAACAGCCTGAGCGTCGCCTACGACGGCAACTGGCTCATTCTGAACGACCTGGAGCTGCGCCAGCAATTTCCTGACGCGGCGGACTACCCTGCTGCGCCGACCAAGCCCTTCAGCGTGGACCACATGCTGGGCCCGAGCTACGTCTCCGGCGGGCAGCAGGTTTTCAAGTTTGTCAGGAAGATGGCGCGCAACGAGGTCTACCTGCGCTGCGCCCAGCTGGCCAACGCCAGCCGAGTGCTGGGCAACCTGGCTGACGACATCCTGTCCAAGATCACGCTGAAGAGCGGCGCTGTGCACCATCGTGCTCGGGCGACGGGCGCTTCATGGCCCTGAGAGGCCCCGTGACCCTGAGGCACATGCGCTTCCGGCTGACCGACCTGGACGGAAACGTCGTCCGGCTTCAAGGGTCGTCTTTGTCGTTCGTATTATATCTTGACCACGTATAATAAAAAAGGATGGAGCCGACCGAACACGACAGGGCGCCGGAGGCGCAGGAGGACGCTGCGCCGGAGGACGCTGCGCCGGACGCTGCGCGCAGGGCGTACGCTGCGCCGGAGGCGCCGGAGCCGAAACAACGGGGCAGGCCTCCTGGCAGCAAGAACAAACCGAAGCAGGACGTGCCCACCGAGCCGGCTGCCCCCTTGGTTGAGGCACCACCAGTGGAGGCACCGCCAGCAGAGGCACCGCCGGCAGAGGCACCACCGGCAGAGGCGCCTCAGCTCACGCGCAAGCAGCAGCGCGCCCTGCGCATGCTGGAGAGGCAGTCGGCCTATGACCGGTTGACGACAGGCGCAAGCGTACTGGTATAAAAGCAAGATGATGTCCATCAAGCCCCGCAACCCGCAGATGCTGCACGCAGCGTTTTAGGTTTCGAATCCTTCGCAGGACGAGGTCGTTTCCTGGACGGACGAGTGCCAGGACCCTACCAGGTGGAATAGAATCCATTTGGGAAACCCCCTCTAAAAAGAGAGGAGTGAAGGTTAAAGGGACTTACTTTTGGAGCTGGCTAGGTCAAGAACCAATCCTGCGCACACTTGGACATATCGAGATGAATCGTTTGGCCACACATTGAGGAGGAAAGTTTTCCATGGCAGCTTCCAAAGCAACATTGCAAAGATTTCTTGCTGCCAACAAGGTGTCCAGACTGGCAGTGTAAAGTATAGTGCGCTGGGCAGGTTCTTGCTAGCGGTGGAAAAAACAGACGGTGAAAAATGAAATTATATATATATATATATATATCAGAATGCATTCCCTATTTTGATATGTGCCTTATAATAGTTGCGCAACTCAGAAGCAACAACGCTTAATGAAACAATGTTTTTGCAATGCTTAATTAAACCATGATTGCCTATTTTTTTCATAAACAATCCTTAAAGTTAAATACACACTTCTGGAGGTTCTGTGTGGAGTTGAGGGTGGGTTGGGGTTGGGCTGGTTGTGTGTGGCAGCTTATTGGTTGTCTTTTTTTTTGGCGGGTGTGTTTGGGCTGGTGGTTTCTTGGTTGGTTGAATGATTGGATGCGTGTACCCTTTTTCCCCCGAAACTCCTAGTTGCTATGGGGGAAGGGATTCTCAGACGCGACTCCGCGCGAGAAATGTGAATTTGCGTTTCATTTGAAACGAGCTGCATTTTTTGTGCACACGTGGGCGTGTGATTCCTTTCCCGCCAAAGGGGAAAGGGCGCGTATCCGCAGCAATTATCTTCTTTTTGGTTTTAGCGAAGACCCTAAGGTTTCCACAGTGTTCGTGTTCAGAAGTTCCAGTTCCTTGGAGTCTGGCGGAGTCGTGTTTGGCGTTCTTGCTTGTATGTTTGCGTTCAAAGCATCGTTCGCGGGCGGTCGCTCGCCCACATGAGTTGGTTGCGCCAGCAGGCTTGCGTCCAACTGTGGCCGTGTTAATTTGGTTGAGCTGGAGGTTTCAAAACAGGTTCCGGAAATGTGCATCGTTTCTTGCTATAGGGCGGGGCTAGGCTTGGGGTCCCAGGTTTGCCCCAGCCAGCCCGAGAACCGGTTGCAATCTGTGTCAACCCCTTAAGAACATAGTGGTGCCGCTGGCTGTGGTGGCCCAAGGGCCGGGCAACTTAGTTTGAGCAATCTTTTCAAAGTGCAAGCATGCTTTCCAGCTGCTGAATCGTTAGCTTTGGTCATGAAGGCATGCAACTGTTGGCATGGGTTTCTTAAACTTTTCGTCGCAGGCCGGCTTCGTGTTATTCAGACTTTCCCACGTTGCTTTGGATTCAGGCCGCGATGGCATCAGAACTCTGACCAAAGCTCCTGAGCCGGCTTGTTCCAAAGGACAGCGCGCGCGGCATGTCTTGTGTTTCCAGTGCGGTTTTTCTATTGATCTTTCAAGCTGAGAGTGCCCCTCCCCACACTACGAACTTGAGGGTGCAGTGAAGCGGTCCTGTTTTTGTTGCCCCTCCCAGCAAGGACGGACTGAGGGTGATGCGAGATCCGAGCCTCCATTGATCTTGGAGGCTTTGTGTTTGACAAATGCGCATGGAGGGAGCGTTGTTACACAACTTCCGTTGGGCATGGAAGGCGCATGGTTGCAGGCGCGGATCGCTGCGCGGCAAGACGATGCCGAAAGTTTGAACATCTTGACGGGCGTACTCAGGCACAGCATTGAAGTAGCGTGCATACTGACTTGACCAATTTTCCGTCGTCCAGGCGCTCTATTCGGGGGTTGGATGAACAGGGGCGGACCTTGCTGTACTATGCGGTGCGCGGAAACCGTGATGACGCAGGTGCGCCGGAGGAAGTGGTTGCATCACATGTGATTGCCTGCATGCTTCTTGAGTTTGACGATGTCAAAAACATGGTTGCAGGACAAAGCCAACCATCGGCATCAGTGGCACGGAAACTCCAAGGCCCCAACAGCACACTGTGATTTCATGTTCCCTTTGTGGCTGGTGTTGGGGGAGCTTCTGTTCTTCTCCGGCTGAATCTTGAGAGATGTGGATCAATTCAGAAAGAGGTGGATTGAGTGGGATGCTGTGAATTCAGATTGAGCACGAACTCCAAGCTTGTTCGCAGGCGCTGACGCACAATGGGACGACGTGCCCAGATATCTGGTGAACAGGCCGTGGAACTATTTAGGCTTGTGGTAGAGTTGCTGTCACCCTCTTGATTGAGTTTCTAGTGAGGGACATATCACTCCTTGTCAAATGGTCGGCTTCTGCCACCTTTACTTTGAAAAACCCAGCAAGTAGCTGGTTTTGGTTCGATCGGGTGCAAAGTTTGATTGGCGGTGCTCAGCCACGCGTGGACTGCCACTGGCACAGGCAGCAGTTCGACGTCAATGTCCAGGTCGCCGGCTCAGGCATGACGCCGCTCATGGAGGCCAGGGCTAGCTGTTTTGGCGTTGGAGATACGGGTGTGGAGCGTTGCTCCAGCCGTAGCATTGTCAGCTTGACGTAACCACTCCCACACAAATTCCACCTTGTGGTATCAAATTATTGGGGGTTGTTGACACATGAATGCATGAATGTCAAGATGCCTTGACGCATTTGTTTCTCCACTTATTTGCCTTGTATCTGGCTAGTTTGAGGCTTGAGAGGCCATGCCCGGATTGCCAGGCCGCGCGCTTCGGCAGCCTCGACTCGGTGCGGCTGCTGCTGGAGCTCCGTGCGGACCCTGGGCTCCGCAATGCCCGAGGCGCGGGGCCCGGGGCCCGGGGCTGGGTCTGCGGAATCGATTCCGGCGCAACACATCGCAACACATCGCAACGCATCGCAACAGGTGACACGGCGCTGGAGGTGGCTCGCTCAAGAGTGCCTGAGTACCTGGACTTCAAGGCGAGTGGTGCCCGTTGCTTAACTTGTTTGGGGAAACTACGTTTGGGGATCACGGTTAAGACCTGTGATGCGAACTATCGTACTCCCTCCGTTTCTTGTCATTTAGCGCTTCCAAGCATTATTCCGTGAGGAGATGCAATGCTCAGAGACTCGGTGGGCGATAGCGAAGGACAGCTGCACGTTGAGGAATATCGCAGCGCCTTCAGCACATACATCTCATGTATCATGTCGGACTGCCAGGAGCACGTGGACAAGGACAGGAGCCGAATCGCTGAAATCCTTCAGTGCGCTGGATAGATATACTTCGAAAAAACTCGTGGCAGGTGCGTTTGCTCATGCTTGCAGCCCGCACTCATTGCTGGCAAGTCTCTTTACCCGCGGGTCCTTTTACGTCGAGCTGTCAAATTACGCGATTTGGTAAGGATTAATAATGTAGAGATGGGGCTAGTCACCTTCCTGCTCCTTGTTCTACTGCCCTCGGCGCACCTGCTGCGTCTTCATAAAGCTGAGCAGGGGGAGGCGGGACATGTTCTTGAGATTGGGGTTACTTGTCAGCGTTTGCTCAGGCTTCATATGCAATTTCCAGTTTCGACAAAGTCGTCAGCTCCGTGGGACCAGGAACTTCCCGTTGACTTCTCTGCAGGCCTGCGGCAGCTGCAGCGAGGGTCTGGTTTGCGCCTGCCTGGCGCTGAACCGGGGCCTGCGGATCTGTGCGGTGCCAAACTTCCTCACCCCGCCGGAGGCCCAACTGACCCCACGCGGGGCGGGGAAGGCGCTCTTTTTTGCAACGGACAATAGCACTCTAATCGGATTGTAAGTGTTTCTTGTCTATGGCTCATATCATGAATTCGTTGCTGCGTTCTATGAACCTGATGTCATGCAGCCTGCACGTGAGAGCGAGAGAGAGAGTTGAGTGATTTTGTACTCTTCCTGAGAGACCTTCTCGACGGCAACCGCACGGCAAGATTAGTATGACTTGTTGTGGGAGAGACACGTGCTTATTCCAGCACGTCGCGGACATGCAAATGTGCCGCAAGCAGCCTTTCTGTTTTTCCGCACGACCAAATCAAGAGTTCTGGATCCCAGGGCCGTGGTTCTGGATCGCCCCATGTGTCGGTCAGGATGCGCTGTCCTTCGAGCGACAGGGCCTTTCCTGCGAGCCACGGCTGCCGGAGGGCCTGCAGCCGGTGCCGAGGCCACCCTTGGTGGCCACGGAGAGAAGGCAAGGTGGCCAGGGTGGGTTCGGTTTTGTGTATTTTTGTATCCTTGTGTTTATATATATATACATATATATGCGCATATGACTATACATATACAATACTAATATTAGTAACGATAATGATAATAGTAATTGCAATAACATCAATAATATTGAATCTGACAATGATCAAAGTAATACTAATAATGGTAGAACACGCAATAACACATGTTAGCATAGATTCATTGAGAGTAGTCGCAATCAACGTATGTTCAATATTATTTCAGCAATAATGGCAATTATATTTTAACGCCCCCGGCTCAGGCCGCCGACATTACAGGCCTGCTTTCTCATTTGCCCCCCTTCCCCTCTAAGATCTTTGCCCCCGTTTACGCTGTTGAGATCCTTTCCCCTTTCCCCCCTAAGGCCTTTCCCCCCCCCCCCCCCCTGAGACCTTCCCCCTTTTCCTGCCTAAGATCTTTTCCCCCCTTTCCCTGTTGAGATCCTTTCCCCATTCCCCCCTAAGGCCTTTTCCTCCCTGAGATCTTCTCCCTTTTCCTCCCTAAGATCTTTTCCCACCTTTCCCTGTTGAGATCCTTTCCCCCTGTCCCCCTAAGGCCTTTTCCCACCCTGAGATCTTTATCCTTTTCCTCCCTAAAATCTTTCCCCCCTTTCCCGGTTGAGATCCTTTCCCCCCTTTCCCCCCTAAGGCCTTTTCCCCCCGAGATCTTCTCCCTTTTCCTTCCTAAGATCTTTTCCCCCCTTTCCCGAGATCCTTTCCCTCCGTTTCCCGCCTAAGGCCTTTCCCCCCTCTGAGATCTTCTCCATTTTCCTCCCTAAGATCCTTTGCCCCCTTTGAGCCCTTCCCCCTAAGGCCTTTCTAGATCTTCTCCCTTTTCCTCCCTAAGATCTTTTCCCCCCTTTTGTTGAGATCCTTTCCCCCTTTTCCCCCCTAAGGCTTTTCCCCCCTGAGAGTTCTCCCTTTTCCTCCCTAAGATCTTTTCCCCCCTTTCCCTGTTGAGATCCTTTCCCCCTTTTCCCCCCTAAGGCTTTTCCCCCCTGAGAGTTCTCCCTTTTCCTCCCTATATCTTTTCCACCCCTTTCTCGGTTGAGATCCTTTCCCCCCTTTCCCCTCTAAGGCCTTTCCCCCCCTCAGATCTTCTCCCTTTTCCTTGCTAAGATCTTTTCCCCCCTTTCCAGGTTGAGATCCTTTCCCCCTTTCCCCCCTAAGGCCTTTGTCCCCAAGATCTTTCCCTCCCCCCCCCGCCCCCGATCTTCTCCCCAGTTCCCCCCCTAAAATCTTTTCCCCCCCTTCCCCCAAAGATCTTGATTTCCCTTCACCTTCCTTCACTTCGGTTCATGTCCCTTTATGTCTGTTTTTGTTCCTTTTCTTCGAGAATTACAAGATGCCGGATGAGAGTGAGAGGGTCTTGAGCTGGGAGTCGCGCTGAAGGGCGCGACTTCGGAGGTCCAGCAGATTGCTGAAGGGGGGGTGCATGAGTCACGGACCCCGCTTTTGTGCGTTTGAACCTGAGGTGAATACTGTAGACCCTTTTAATGCCCAAAGGAAAAAGGGCGCGGAGCTGTAACAAGTCCGCCGACAGGCGACGTGTTGGACATTTGACAGACTATTGCGGGGCAATGTTAGCACCTCCTGGGCAACATCGCCAGCATTACCTGCATCATGTGAATCAGCGCCTGCCAAGGATGCGGATGATGCAAATAATGCTGGGGATGTTGCCCATGCTGTAGCCCGTCCACTCCCAGGCGTGTGCTGCTCCCGACCTCATAGTCTCCGCCCAACACGAAAACCGGCCCGCTCGTCCTCATGACCGTTGCGCTCCGGGCCGATCCTCACGCTAGGCATCTTTCCTCTCCGCGGGTCGAACTCCGGCAATGCACCTTGATGCAAAACCTTTCCTTTGCGATCCTCCCCACTGGCGCCTTCATGATCCCCGAAGGAAGACCCTCTTCACGTCTTCCCACCGCACCATCTCCTCCGAGTCCAGAGCTACCTTCCACTTGGGGCATTCTCCAAACACTCTGCTCTCGCTCTTTCTTGGAGCGTTCATGGTCCACTCTTTTCTCACGCGGGCTCTTTCTCGTGCCCGCTCCCACACTCTTCAGCGCCTTAATCCCCGGTAGTTGATGTACTCCCCCAGTCCTCCAGCCCTCGCACGAAGCCTGCTACCTTCCTTCCGGCCCATTTGATGGCCTCCCACGCCGCCGCCACCGCCGCGAGAAGCGCGGTCCACAGCAGCAACTCTTCCGTTGCCGCATTCTCGTCTTCCATGCCCGCTGCATCCGCTAGATTCACGCACATGATGCCCATCAGAACAATTGAGGCCACGTTCATGCTCCGCGCCGCACACCACCTTCACCTTCACCACGGTCCCCTTCTTCCTCAGAAATTTGCGCTGCTCTCTCTCAGCCAATGCTCTCAGGCGAGCGCTTGCCAAGGCCTTGGTGCCGATGTCCGCCCCCGTCGTCTCCCTTGGTAGGTGCTGCAGCCCCGAGAAAAAACCTGCTCAAAGCGTTCCGGAGCCGCTTGAACGGCCTCGTCCGCGACCCACCGGGACCCTGCAACAGCGTCACCGCCGCTGCGTTGTCCTGCAACATCACCAACTTCAGCGCCTCGAGCTGGTCCCGACCCTCCACGTCGATCCCAGCCTTATCCCACACCAACGCCACTTTCTTCTTTTCTTGTCCTCCAGATCGGCGATGATCTCCGCCCATGCCTCTCCCTAAACACTCCTTCCATGGCCGCCAGCAGCTCCGCCTCCACAGTCAACCTCGCCGCGAACGGCTGCCATCACGACCACGCCCTGCTGGGAACAGCTGCCACCCAAATCCTCCACCGTGTTCATGCCCGGAACTCCCCGTTCTCTCCGTGAACTCCAGCTTCCGCCCCACAGTCTTCTTGAGGAGATCCCCATCTCGAAGGCCCGCCTCGCTATCAGCTGACTGATGCGGTTCACCCCATAGCAGATGTCCGGCCTTGTCCGAATCGCCCACAGCAACTCTCCTGACAAGGCCTGCGTCTGCCGAACCATCTCCACGTCTTGCTCTTCGTTCTTGCCGTTCTTCTCGATCTCCTTCGGCACCAGGATGATCTTCTGCTTCACCTCCTCTTGATTCAAAGAGAACATCCTTGATGTAGTCTTCCTGCCCAACCAAGAGGCTTTCACCTTGTTCAACGGCTCTGCGTTGACCCGCTCCAGGTCCGTTGCCTCCCACTCCTTCTTGATGTGCTGTGCCATCGCCTCCACAATGTTCTGCTCCCCCACGATCATCATGTCGTCCACGTAGCAGCAGATGAAACCCACCGTGGTTCTTGTTGGCAAACGCCTGGCGCAACATTAGCTCCCTTCCGCCCCTTAAGGGTGTCTTCTCGATGAGCCCCCCAGTCCGCTTACAAGCACCTCCCACATGACGCCCGGATCCACCACCTCGCATCCAGAAGGATCTTCGGCGGTCTCACCACGACCCGATGGCTGGACGCTGCTCGGTGCGTTCAAGAAGTGACTTCCACCCTTTTTTAATCACATACACCGCGTTCTGGGTACCACTTTCTGCCGAACCCCTGCAATGCAGAGCCCCCATGTCACCCATAATCATCCTGTTGCAAACCTCCACCGCCTAGATGATGTCACCATGCTGAGCTGCCTATTCGCCACCAGCTTCTTCTTCACCTGTTCAGGAAGTGCCTTCAAGACCATGGCCACCCCCATCTCCGCCAGGTTCATGTTGACCGTGCCGTATTCCTCCACGAACACCCGGACCAGCCCCTTCTCGGTCCTTGGCGCGCTGCGGTGTCACGCCCTTCATCCTCCTGTCCTTCTCCAATGACCCATCTCCTCCCATCCTCATCAAGTCATCCTTGACCGCCTGCAGGGCCCGATCCCTTTCCTCCTCCACCACCCACTCCTCTGGCGTCATGAAGGCTCTGGCCCTTCTCCTCTGCGCCGCTGCTTCCTCCTCAGCGGCCCTCAAAGGCGTCCTCCTTTTTGCCTGACTCCGGAACCGGCGGCAAACTTGCTGGCCTTGCTTCGTCTCCTCCTGCACCCTCTTAGACTAAAGGGCTCTTGGCTTCGATGTGCTCCTTTGCCTGGATGCCAAAGCGCTTCCGCAAGCTCTCATCTGCCACCACCACGTGCTCCTCATCCATCCCAGGCCTGAGCACCTGCGGCACCCCTTTCCTTGCTCTTGACGTCAACCTGGTCCGTGACGCACGCTTACCCGGCCGGTTCTCCTCCTCCTCAGCAGTTCCATGGCGCAATGGAGCGAGGTCTTGGGCTCATAACCTGTTAGAGCTCCGCGCCCTTTTTTCTTTGGGCATTAAAAGGGTCTACAGTATTCGCAGCCCTCCACCTCATGTTCAAACGCACAAAAGCGGGGTCCGTGACTCATGCAATACAAATACTACGAACAATGATACTAACAATTAGTAGTAATAATACCGATCAGAATAAAACACACACACAAGTACTAAACATGATAAGCCACAAACAATTCATATTGATAATAGTGACAACAACTACTGATAGTTTTAATGATAATGATAATGACAGTACTGCGAAGAATGATAAGGCTGATAATAATAAAAATAATCCTATTAACAACGTTGCTAATGACAATACTATTTATTTATTCGCATGTATCAAGCCAGCGTTGTTTAAGTTGTGCTGGTTAGATTTTTTTGGTTAGAATGAATACAACTCGCCCATGCTGGTGCCAAGGCCCACTCATGTAGGCCTGCTTGCGAGCCCAAATTTTGGTTTCTTTTCTTTGTGTGTTTATTTGTGTATCTGTTTGTTTCCCTAATCGGCCTCCAATCTTGTTTGCTACCTGATTTCGAGGGTTTTCCCTTTCGGGCTCTTCCCTTTCTGGCTATACGGCCGTGCGGTGCTGTGTGCAGACTCCTGACCAGTGCCCATTCACTCTCGCACCCAGATCTCAATCTCAGGGAGCTGTTTCGACTTTGCCCACCCTGAGCTTTTAAGCTGTCTGTGATTGGTTAGGCGCGAACGCATACGCGAGGCTGGATCCTCGGCAGAACCCGGAGCTCGCGAGCTGGGCTCGAGGTGAGTCGGGAGTTGGGAGTGAAGTCCACGTCAGTGTTGCAAACGGTTCATGAGCTCAGCTTGCATAGAACAAAAAAAGGGCGCGACTCACCAACTATTCACAGGTTTGCGAGGTTCCGTTCGCTTGTCAGGTGCCAAGAAGATTGAACGTGCTTCTAAATGGGAAGAATGGCTGTCCTCCTTGCGCAAGTCTATTGATGAAGATGAATGAACCGATTCGTCTTGGAGGGAATCATGATTGCCACAATCTAAGAGGTCTTTACAGTGGCGCCTTGTATCTCATGGGCGATGACCACCATCCAGTTGAGATACAAGCTACAGGCTCAAAGGTTTTTCTTTTGGGGATTCAACGGACCGCGGCTTGCAACTCGGACCTTCTGGGTGGCTTGCCGTTGTTTTGTGTTTGGTTTGCTCCCTTTTCCTATTTCGTCCCTGTTTCCTTCTGAGTTGTGCGTGCCAACCAAGGGAGACACAACACTTGAGAATCCAATAATGAAACACGCGCACACACACACACTGAGGCGTTTTGTCCCTTGAACCATAGCCCTCAGCTCTGCAAAGACACGCTCTCCTCCCAGACAAAAGTCAAACAACATCAACCACGAAGATAAAGTAAAGTGAGGGCGAAGAGATCCAACCCGGAAGCCCAGCGCAACTTCTGGTTCAACAATCGCCTGGCAAGGCCCAGGGCAGAATTTCTACACCCAGTACCAGCTGCTCTTTGCCCCCGAGGACCACCTCTTGGGGGTGCCGCTGCTGGCTGGTGACGACGTCTCAGAGGAGCATGGGTGGGTTGGAGATAGCTACAAAGCAGCTACAAGATAAGGCAGGAAGATATATGTAGCAAACACGCAGATATATGTAGCGAACGTCACGTGTACTTGGAACAGACATCCTTGTTCTCTGCGGATGCTGTGGTTGCAGATGACTGTAACGCGGATCTTTTGAGGACCTTGCCCAAAGCCTGTTGGGGCTGCCTGACTGCTTGGCCTCTTGCCCGCTAGGAGTATTTTGAGAAGGCCGCAAGGACGTTGCAGCACCTGCTGCTGGAAGCCGCAGGTCGAGAGGTCTTGCAGAGCCTGGCACATGCCGGGGTCAAGATCCTCCTGGCCGGGCCTGAGAGTGACGAGGATCCTTGGCTGCGACATCCCGAGGCCAGGAGTTAGGTTTCAGCTCGATCCAACAGGATTTGTTTGTATTGCGGAACATTGCGCGAGTTCGAATTTAATTTTGACCGCTTTGGAGGAACATCGATAGTGTGTGAAAGTCGTCGAAGTGGCAATTGCACATTGGTCGATGGGTTCGCGCAAGGCAGGATATCATCGGTTTCCCCTGAGTGAGAGCATACTAAATCTTTCGGGCACAGGACTGAACAGATGTACGCATGCATGCCCAAATCGAATTCTCTCAAGGAAGCAGGAGCCTAGACACACACACACACACACGTCCTGTTACGCATCACCTGTCCTTTTCAGTGCAGGGGCCTTAAGGACAGGCTCGAAACCCGGGTAGTTCTGGTCAGAGATCCGAAGGGGGCCATTCCGACCTCCCTCAAAGAGGTTTCGTTGTTTTTGGTGCGTCGTTTTTTTTGGAGGTGAGCCGCCACTTCACCACGGGCCTGGGGGGCGGGAGCCCCTGGTTCCCCTCCACCGGGGTCTTCGAGGGCGAGGCGGCGGCCACGTTGGCGGAGGAGTTGTTTCACACCATCCAGTACTGCCACCTGGGTCCCCAAGCTGTGTGCATGCGCCCGAGCTCGAAACTCAAAACACGAGCTTTTTGCAGTTTTGACAAAGGCTGGGAGTGAACCATCAACCATCTGACACTTTCTCTGATTTGGTTTGGACTCTGCCTTCTCGGCTTTACCCAAAGACCCGAGTAAATCTGTTTCAGGCAAGCAGAGTTGGAAGGGACATGCACGGGTCAGCGGACGGAGGTATCACAAGGCCTACAAGTATGCCATGGAAAGGCACATCTATACCACCGACAATTCGGCGGAGGAAGTCGACGGGGAACCTGTGCCTACGGTTCAAGCCGACGAGTACATGGCAATGGCGCTGATGAGATGGCTCGGAGTCAATAGAGGCTTCTCGGAATACGCGATTCCTGGCAATACTGCTGAAAGAACGGGGCGGCAGAGCCTGCGCGACCACGACCAAAATGCGTTTTGCATCCTGTCCACGATATTCCGCGCCGATGACAGCTGGAACCCAGAGGAGTCTTTGGAGCCCTGGAGGAGTTTCAGCAACCAGGGCATGGACGTGAAGGATGTGGCAGACTTCTGCACTCCGGCGCCCAGACTTCCACAGCAACAACTTTCTCCAACTTGATTGAGATATTTGCTCCAAAGGAAACAAGACCTTGTTAAAGCCGACAGCCTCAGCCGCTTGATTTTCAAGCTCTACTCCTTAGATATGGGTGCCTCGTGTGTGTGTGTGTGTGTGTGTGTGTGTGTGTGTGTGTGTGTGTTTGTGGTCATAGAGCTATAAGTGTCGGGCGGCAAGTCGTAGGTGGGCTGAGTCGCTTTTCCAAGCGCTGGGATTGCAGGTTCTGGCGCAGCTGGCCGAAGGCTGCCCCAACGCCTCTCTGGCGTGGCCCGCGCGGCCCCGAAAGATACCCTGAACAGACTTCCAAAGGCGAAGGAGCTGCGGACCTGCCTTCCGGTCAGATTTAGAGCGCGTCGGGCTGCTAGATGCCCGCAATGCGAAACGCGCATGCGCAAAGCGTTCAGAAGCTGTTTGGTGGGTTGAACATGTTTCATGTATTGGAAAGTCATAGTCTCAGAGCTGTGGTGGCACAGTTGCAGTCAGTTTGTACCTTCATATAAATACAGCGACAAATCCAACATGTCCGAGTCACAAATGCGAGTGACCCTTTTATTCATGTTCGGAATCGATCGAAATGTGCAATTATCAATGGCGAAGGCACATAAAATATAGACAGTAATTCGATGCTGCAGCTCAAAACAAGTTTGTGTCTGTTGTGTATTCTGTTTTTGAACCAATTGACCTTCATGCAATCATATATTATCACCATTGCGTTGTGGCTGAAGGCCCTTCTTTGATGCAGAAGATAAAAGCCAACAATTGCTGCCTTGCTCTCGCGCCAAAGTATGCAATACACATACCAAGGACTTCCAGTACATTACAATCCATTAGACATCAGGTTTTTCTCTTGAAACAGATCCAGGGCCACAAAGACTGCCCAGAGTGTGTATCTTCTCCTTAGGGATTAGCTGCCCCAGTACGGGACTTACCCCCCCTCCCCAAACAGAATTCCAGTTGCTGGCAAAGGCTGGGAGCATCTTGGCAGGGTGAAGAAGGTTTCGAGGCGCTACCATGCCCACCCCCACCCCCCACCCCCCACCCCCAGCGAGCGCCATGTCAATGTTTTGACGAAGGCAGGGCCGGGGAAGTGTTGGAAGCGGGTTTGGGCGGGTATCTAACAGCCCGATACCATTTAAAGGGAGGGGGCGTGAACTTCGGCCCCCCCCGCTTCTTGCCGTGACAGATGCAGCAGAAACGAAAAGCGTGGTCCGTCCCTCCCTGAGAGGAGGTAAACACGGTCGTGGGGCTGATGTGCACAAACACGCACGCACAGAGTCACGTGTTACCATGTTGCTCCCTGTGTCCCAGGCCGCTCTAGGAACTGAAAGTATCGCACCCGGCAGATGCGCAATAGACACTCAGCCCTCAGCCCGACAATCCCTTCAACACCCTCCAAGACAAGCATCAAAGCGGGTGCAAAGATGGGTGTACCAAGCAGCCAAGGTTGTTACGCTCATTCTCCGAGCTCTGAAACACTACCCTTTTAGGTGGATCCAAACGGCTCGCAGAAGCCCCAGGCTTAGGCTCAGCCATGGCCCTGACGGCGCCACAGCTGGCAGCTCCACGGCCTCTTGCACCGGCACCGGCCGTCAAAGCTGCGGCGTTGCGTGCAACTCGGAAGGCCAAGCTCGTCAACCCGGGGCTGATGGAACTTCCAGGAATGCTGGAGTTGGTTTTTGTGGCGAAGTTGTTTTTGCTTCTGTTCATGCCCTGGTGTCAACACAGTGAGGGGAAGCAGAGGCTTGGACCTCCGCTTCGCAACCCATGAAACTGACCTCCCAGGATCCAGGATTCCTTTCCTTCCAGACGGGAAGGGCAAGGAACCCTATCGATCATCCAAGGTCTCAGAGGCGGCCGAAAAGACCGCTCCAAAAGCAGGCGCTGCTTTTGGATGTTGCGAAACATGCTCTGAACCAAGTTGTGTTGCTTACTATCTGGAACGGTCGCCACATTCAAACAAGAGGAGTCATGACACATTGGTGTTTGTGTGGACGATGCGGGTGGCACTATTTTGGTCGTAGTGCTGTACCGTCAGATGGAACGACGTGGAAGAGCTTTGTGAACACAGCGGGACCATTGTCAGTCTCAACATCAATTTGTCTTGCACTTTTGCGCCAGGCTGGACGACTGGGTTGGCTGCAGGCGCCTTTGTCGGGGCATACTGCCGGACGCGCAGGTGGCGAACCTGTGCTTCTTGGCACTCGAGGGTGCAGTTTTTCTTTCATGACTTGGACAGCCAATGACTGACATCCTCCAAGCAGTCTTATTTGGCGTGTGGCCCCTGTTTTGTAGATGAAGCAGATCACCTCTGCGGGAGAGGTAAAACAAAAACACAATTGGGTCCGCTCTGGCCAGAAACACAAGTCGTTCTTGCACGTGGCCCGGTCAATGCTCTGGAGCTTTCTTCGAGGAGTGTTGTCATTCCTCACGCTGAGGTGAAAGCCACCAAGATCCTGGAAGCTCCCGCCAAGAAGGCGGAAGCGACTCTCGAGCCACCTGATGAGCCTGACGAGCACAATGTGATCGTTGCACTAGTTGCAGCGGCGTCCCATGGCGGCACCATGAGGACTTCCGCCTTACCGCGTGCGCTTTGCAGTTCTTGCTTAGACCACATCTTAGGTACGTCATTTGGCAGATGGACAAGGTCAACATGTCCATTGCCATTCTGCCTATGGCAGCTGATTTTTCCTGGGATTCTTCGGAGCAAGGACTCATACAGAGTTCGATTTTCTGGGGCTATGCCGCCACACAAGTCATTGGTGGGCTTCTTGCGACAAAGTTCGGCCTGAGTCTTAGTTGAAGCACCATACGCGAGCAGGATGACATGGGACAATTCAGTGTGTGGTCTTGGAGTCACGTTTGCCTTTGCATTCGCGGCCACGCCATCCATGATGCATTGAAAGGACAATCTGGTACAGGGACATAATCGACAATTTGCAACAGCTAAGAAACGGTTTGACTCCTCCAGATCATGTTTCCGCATTAAGCATACAAATCTTTGCCCTTTCGGTGCACAGCGAATCAGAATAGGCCCAGCAGGTCCTTTGAATGGGACTGTCATGACAAGCTTGGCGGGTTTTGAGAAGGGAATTGTGAGGCATGAGACAAACCTGGGAATTGGCGAGCCCAGTGCTTTTGTCTATGAGTGCTTTGAACAGCTGCTTTTGCCTCGGCATCTCCACTTGCCCAGCTCAGGCAGTGTGGAAAAGGCATGCATAACTCATGGCGAGCTCACCTGGGGTAACATGAGCTCGTGGTAAAGCTCCTTTACTCGGGGATCCACATCCCGCGTTCTCATGACTTGCAGGAATCGAACGCACCCCACACACACATTCATACTTGTACAGCCCTTCTTGGTTTAGAAGTCCTTTTCCCCTAGGCCCCACTCATATTTGACACCTCCCATTCTTTCGCTCTTCTCAGGCACACACACACACACATGCACAAGCACCCAAATCTTCATTTTCACAAGCAGGCGAGTTCATTCTATCGGCCTTGCACGTCACCGTGTCACTTTGTATGTCTGAGGGGGCAAGCGGGTGCTGCTCTTCGCGGTGTCCCTGTGGTCAGTGGCCACCATGCTGGCGCCCCTCGCTGCCTCCTACTCCACGGAGCTCTTCGTGGCCAGCCGCGTGCTGGTGGGCATTGGGGAGGGCCTGGCTCCGGCGGCCGGGCTGCGGATGGTGGCCACCTGGGTGCCGGAGGAAAGGGGAGCACACGGGGGGCTTTGGGTTTGGGGGATTGGGCTTGGGCATTTCGAGCTTCGGTTGGAGGGTTGAGACGAAATGAGAATTCAAAGGTTGGAACCTGTGTCGGTTTCTCGACCAGGCAGAGAGGAGCCGAGCCATTTCCACCTTGGGAGCTGGAAAGACAGGCGGGAAGGGAAGGAGGAGAGTACTTAAAAGCAGTGAATTCATCCCATGGCATAGCATGGACACCCCCCTCCCTTTGCAGCCTTTTCTTTGGTCCTTCAAAGGGGGAAGCTATTGTTTGGTACTGGCAAGAAGACAGCAAGATGGGTAAATGAAGGAATCGAACAGTATTTTGGTGTGTTCATGTTTGTTGCTGCCTCAAATCTCAAGTGCTTTTTTGCTAATCAGACTGAACTCATGGCTATACTCGTGGTTTTGCTTCTAGATACTGTACGTTATTTGAGTGTAACTTCTTTTTGGGTCGTCGCATCAGCCATTGCTTATACTTGATTGACCAATGCCAACCGTCTTCAAGGTGACATGCGTTCGGCGAAGCCCAGAGCTTCCCCAAACAGATTCACAGGATGTCCAGCAATGGGCCTAAAGTGCGCACTTCAAACTCAAAAAAATCCGCCAGATTAGGTTTGGGCGACTGATTTTTACTGGGACAGGATCCCTAAAAGAACCCTTCCGATTACGCTCCGAATTTCTCTGAAGATACGAAGTCAGCTGTGACATGGCGTTTGAGAAGTCGTCGCTTGGCTCAGGGGGCTCCATTGCGGGGCTGCTGCTGGCGCCCTTCGTGATCGGCGCCTTCGGGTGGCAGGCGATGTTCTTCTCCTTCGGCTTCCTGGGGCTCCTGTGGGCCGGCGTGTGGTCCGTCAAGGCGGCTGGGAGAGGGTCTGTTGGGGTGAGGATGTGCTTTGATTTGATCTCTCATGGCTGTTGAAAGGTTCGTTGTGTGGGCGAAAACAAATAGATCTGAGCTCTTAACATGAGTTGCTTACATGACTTCTGTTTGTTTACAGAGCGACTGGACGTTGCTTCAATCATTTTCAGCAAGGGACTTGGGACTTCCATGCCTGTGAGCTTAAGTAGCTTGGGACGGAAAGAAAGTGATGCTGGCAGTGAAGCAAAGGTCTCAGGTCGAAAGACGTTTGCCTTAGCTTGGATGAGTTTCATGCAGTGATCAAAGCATGTCCTCTGTGAGGGCTACTTCATTTGTCCCTGTTTGCATTCGCTGCTGTTAGCTTCCCCATCGACTTGAGCCGTCGGCTAGGGCAAGGACCGCGAGGGCAGTGTGGGTGCCGCCAGCGACGACATCCCCTGGCAGCGGATCCTCTCCACGCCGCAGCTTTGGGGCATCGTGGCCGCCCACTTCTGCCACGACTGGGGCGGCTATGCCCTCCTCACATGGACCCCCAGCACCGCGACCTGAGCAAGGGAAGTAGCGCAGCCTTGCCCCCATTCACATGGGTCGCTGTTTTGTGCAATTTGGTTTGTTTACAATACTGTTGTTGGGCTTTGCAACAGCTTTCCCATTTGTTCACCTTAATGTCATTTTTATGTTTATCAGGCCAGGTTACGTAGAATTAGGGTTGAAGACCCCACCACACTCACTGACTGATTTGTTGTAAGCCAACCACCTTGGAAACATCAACCAGCATACGAGCATGAAAAGCACAGGTCATATCAGACGTCAGCACCAAGCCTTTTTTTCTGTGACTGCCCGTTTCGCGGCTCACATCGAGGCTACCTGAATAAAGCTTTGGGCTACGACCTCACGGGTAGCAGCGAGCTCACGGTGCTGCCCAGTTTGTGCGCCGTCGGGGTGGCCGCTTTCGCGGGCATCACTGCGGACAAGCTGCACGAGGAGGGCGAAGGGCAGTGGGCGCCAAGGGGGAGGAGGGAGAGGAGGGGCAATGTGGGAATCCCGGAACACGGGCGCGCAGTACATGGTTGGAGCTTTGTGCTGATTTCCTCCAGAATGGAATTCAGAATGGAACTTTGTGCTTCCTTGTACCCGCCAATGCGATTGATCTTTTTTTTTCAGTGATTCTCTGTCCACATGGAAGTGCCCCGTTCAAGCCCATTTCAGAGGACGGCATGCCGCTGACCACGGTGCGGAAGATCTTCCAGGCTCGTAGGCTCGGCGAACCGGAAGGGAAAATTCCTGTCAAGGGGCAAGGCATCCCGCCTTGGGAAACTTATTGCAAGGGCGCTGCAATCTGTAAATCCTCACGTGTTTTTGCCAGGGCGTCGGGTTTTTCATCCCCTGCCTGATGCTTGGGCTGCTCGCCAGCCTTTCCGAGCCGGGCTCACTGATGCCAATCATTCTTCTGACGGTGGGCATCGCCGGGGGCTCCTTCTCATACGCGGGGCTGTACTCGAGCCATGCCGACCTCAGCGCCAAGTACAGCGGCATTGTGAACGGCGTGTCCACCACCTTTGGGGCTCTGGCCGGGGTGTGCTCCAACGCCTACGTGGGCTACGCGCTGAAGACCACGGGCTCGTGGACGCAGGCCCTGTTCCTGCCGGCCATTGGCCTGTACTTGGTGGGCTGGGCGCTCTACACGCTGCTTTACGACGCGACACCCATCGACTGGGACGCCGAAGAAAGCTGAGCAGATCTTCAATGTGAGCGACGGTCTCCGACCAACAAAAAACGGCCACGCAGCGTCAGTTTCCCAGTGTACGGTCTTGGAACAGAAACGTTCGGGTCTATGCTGCTGAAGGGGGGCTTCCATGGAAGGAGAAGCAGCTGCCGGCATGATGCCAGTTTCTTGATGTCCACAGCAGTGTTCTTTACCAATGTTGTTTGGCCTTCTCAGTGTGGAACTGAGGGTGCTGAAGGCTCCCGTGGTGAAAATGGCAGCATCATTTGCAGCCCAGAATGCTGCGAACCACCCATCAGGTCTTTGAGTCTGTTTGTTCACGATATCAGGAGATCCGAGGCAAGCTTTTTCAATTTGAAAGAATTACACCTCGGGGGACCACCAAACCACCAGGTCTGTTGGAGCTTTTTTAATATTTCTGTTTTGGGGTCCACTTGGAAGCTACAGCGAGTCAACGATAATTTGTTTAGACCCACCTGTCACTGCGCAGACTTGGCTCAGCGAATCGAGCCATGCCTTGCCTCCTCTTGCTGCGTGCAGCGGCAGCCTGAGCTCGTCCTGTAAGCAGAATCGGTTCTGCTTTTGTTTTTTCGTTTTGAAGCAACCTGAAAACGATGCCCTCATGCACCCCCCATATATTGTCCAATGGGGTTGCGGCAAAGGGGTTGGCCGGCCAGTGTTTGGAGAGTCTCGGAGCGGCCAAAGGGGGCCCTGGGTTTGTTTCACATGTTCCTTTGGACCGTTTGGCCCGACATCTGCTCTCCGGCTTTCTTGAGGCCCGGCGGCCGGGCTTTGCCCTGGTCACCAGGCAGAGCGCAGGGGTGTCGGTAGTTCCGTTGTCCATTGTGCGGGTTCGGGTGGTTGTTGAGCATCGTGTCGCAGGCTTTATGTCCGAGAGAGCATTCATCAACTCGATGTGATCTGCCGCAATTGCATGGATGCAATCAGATCGTGATGACATGTGCGCAATTAAGCAACTGCCCTCGAATGAGCCAACCAGGAAGCAGTCCTGGCCCGTTTGTCTCAGGGCAGCCTGGCGCCCTTGCAGCTCATGGCCGGGCAAGGCCGGGCGTGCGGGGGCTGAGCTCATTGGGATGAAAGGGGCAGGAGTGGGCATTCAAGGGGACCATTTCCAGGAAGACCTGTGAGATGACTGGCAGCAGTATATCTTAGGAGAGAGTTGCATTGCAATCAAGCAAATACCAGGAGGAACAGTAGACACGTCGCGTCTTGTGTTGAGGCGCAGCTGTTTGGCAGGCTGTAAGCCAGACTTGGACATTTTGCTTGAAATTTCAATGGAAGCCCGCTTTCCCAGCCAGCGGAGATTGATAAAGGAGTATTGAGGACTCACCAGCGTCATGCTCGCTCTCAAGCAGGGTCATATTCTTCTCATGTCCGATGAAGTTTTCAGTTGCATCGAGTTTCCTAATGCAACTCGCCTTGGAAGGATGCTTCACAAGTTGGTAACTTACTCCAGGCTTGCGCTCGGGAAATCGAATTTTGCGATGCAAGAAGCACAAAAACAGGGGGGAGGCAGGGGAAGTCGAGCATTCGCAGTGGGAGTCGAGCATTCGCAGTGGGCTGAAAGCAATCAACTCGAGGAGGCAACGCCATGCTCCCTGTCGGCGCCCTCGCGTAGAGGTCCAGGCTGGGGGGTTCGTTCTCGAGCTTCGATGGGCTGGGTCTCTTTTGCGACTCTGGACTAGTGACTTTGGTGGCCTGAACTTGTGAACTTCATGGAGTTGGCAAGAGGATCGGATCGCTTGCCCGGCAGGGAAGTCCCTGACCGACACAGAGCTTCCAACCCGCTCGCTGCGCCCGGCGAGCACGGATTCTGCGGGCGACCCGCCGGCGCACTCGGCGCCACGGGCAAGCCACGACGCACACGCAGAACGGGCACCTCGATCGGATCAGCCCATGATGGCAGATGCGGGGCGCCCGGTCGACATTTGCCTAGCTTGTGTTTCCAGAAATCTAAATTGCAATAAGATGGGAACAGACCTTGAGTCCGCTCTGCAAAATTCTGGCTGGGTTCAACCTTTCGTGCACCATTTTTTCGCAGTGGCCAAGGCCAGAGTCATGCTGGTGGCAGGGGCGCTTCTCTGCTTTGGCGGGAGCATGTATTCAGTTTATGCCCGGGCCTTATTTCTAAGTTCAATCCGGGCAGATCCAAGGTGGCATCATCAATTTGACATGTACAATATTGTACAGGCTAGTTTGTCCTCCATGACAAAACCTATGCCAAATGAGTTGTTGCATCATTGTGGCTCTGCCCCGCTCCCTCAGCGTAGAACAACGGTTTACATCAGCATGGGCCAAGCTATGCGTGACTGTGCTTGCATGGGGGGCAAGCTTCGCATGAAATGCCCAGATGCCAGGTTGCGGTGACCCACGACCCGAACCGCAAAGAGGACCGCCCCATGCTGAAGCGTGGGGAGTACATGGCTGGCGGCAGCGTCGCCGGGTAGCCTAATCGGAAAAAAAAGGAACACGCCCATGCTGTCCCTGACGTTCGCTTGGAACTTGTTTGTGGGTGCGCTGCTGACTTGGATTGTGACGTGCGGCCTTCACTTGGGTTGCACCTAGGTGGGAGCGCTGGTAATGATGTACCTGCTCATGCGCAGATGAGAGGAAGAGAAGCTGATCAAGTTTGCATGGCGGCGTTCAAGATGCAAAGAAGTCGGTTTGTACCTGTCATGTTCTTCAAGCCAACATGCACTGCTGATCCGGAGCTTAAGCCTAGTCTCTGGAAAGAGAGCCGCGCGCATGCAACCATTGCCCAGGGAAGTCTCACCAGTGGACCCAGTTCGACCAGATACGTGCCTGCGAGTGAGCCGGCAGTGTCGAGGTTCTAGTGCTCCCGGGCGATAGGAATGTTTGGCGACCTGCAACAAGACCCGGAAAGGCACTCCTTTCGACTTCAATGCTCTTGGAGCAATCAGCCACGAGTTCCACGCAAAGCACGTTGCAACAAATTTTCAAGCAACAGGTCCGCATTGGACGACTTTTGTTCAGCAGCCTTGAAATTCCGCGGTCGCCATTCTTGCTTGAAGGACTGCTTTTGCGTGGACAGCTTAGATGACTCAACAGACAGGAAGCCTTTGCCACCACCTGCCAGGGTATCCCAAGCCAGCTTTGTGGACACACCTCAAGCTCATAGCAAGTCCATTGCAAACCGGCAAGCTGCCGCTTGCCGCCGCCAGCGCGGCTCCAGCGGCAGCAATGCCAAAGGCCATGCTTGGTGAGAAGGAGTTGCTCTCCTGGTTTGCCATTTTTATCCTCTGGAAGCAACAAGGGGATGTGGAATGGCTCCTTTGGTTGAGCTTGCATGAGGCCTCGCAGCTTCTGGTGGCCCTGCTTTCAGAGCCTTCCAGTGGTCGTGGCCGAGGTGCTGCAATGAGGCGGGTAAGGATGTCAGGAGTTCGATACGTTTTCCAGCAGTGCATGTCAGGAGTAGCTTTGCTCAGCCGCCCGCAGCGGGTGCGGGGGCTAGTGGAGCTGGAGGGGCTGGAGGCTACCACGGAGGCGGCTATGGCGGTGGCAGCCATGGCAGCGGAGGCGGCTATGGCGGCAGTGGCGGCTATGGCGGTGGCAATTACCAGGGTGGCGGCGGCTACGATGGCGGTGGCGGCTACGGCGGCTACGGTGGCGGCGGCTACGGTGGCGATCACGGTGGCCACGGCTATGACTACGGTGGCGGCTATGGTGATGGCTACGGAGACTATGGCGGCGGGTATGGGGGTGATGAGTATGGCCCGGAGAGCGGCGCACCAGGAGCACCAGGAGCACCAGGGGCCAAAGGTGCGGGGAAAGGAATGGACACAGAAGGCGCGGCGGAGCGGCAGCTCATTTGTCTGTTTTAGTCTAAGCGCAGTTGCTTGAGTTGGCTGTCTCCATATCATGGGTCGAATTTGCGAATCTTGTAAACAGCCCCACTGATCACATGGAAGCCGACGGAAGCGTTAGGTTCAGTTGGGTTTCATGTCACATCCTGTTCCAGGCGTCGAAGATGACGCACAGGGCGAAGGGCTGGACGCAGGTGAGGGTCTTCCTCCGGCGGAAGAGCCGGAGGAGGTGGAGGCGGTTCCGCCGGAGGAGTGAAGTGGGCCTCTTTGTTGTTTACGCTGCAGAGGTATATGTCGTGTTTGGCGGGTTTTATACACGAATCAAGTCACCGTCCACATCGGCACTCCATCCCTCCATGTTGCAGTGGTCTCAGCACGCATGCCATGTTCGCTCTTCGCACGCAGAGGGGACATAGACTGGCACAGCTTGAACATTGGTCAGCACTGGTGTTCGAGTGTGTTCTTGAGAATGTAGCGATCGGTTGATGTTTCTGCATCCATTTCTTTGCATGCCCCACTGCTTGTGTCGCTTGCCGCTCCAAGTGGAGAAGGAGGAGGCCTACGAGGAGGCCCCTTACGAGGAGGCTCCTGAGGCCTTTGAAGAGACCCCGGAGTCTGGTCCTGGGCAAGGCCCTCCCGTGATGCTGGCGCTGCACTTAGCGCACAATGGATATGCGGGCAATTCGGTTGGCTGAGATGGCTGAGAATCCAAGGTGAACAGCGAAGGCCAGAACATCCTTGCAAAGGAGAAAACCAAGCACGGGGCCCAGAGAAGTGAAAGCAGGTTCCTGTGAAATACTAATTCCCGAAAGCATCGCGAAGGGTTCTTCCGCGCGGAGCTCTCGGACCAACTTGCCTAGAGTCACTGGCGCAGAGTCAAATACATAGAGCCAAGTGCATGGAGCCAAGTGCATAGAGCCAAGTGCATTGAGCCAAGTGCATAGAGCTCGGCGTTAGCAGCTATGTAAGTTAAGCTTAGGTTTCTTGATCGTCGATCCGGTTTGCGACCCTCTGCGGGTGGTCGAGGTGCAAACACTCGAGGTTTTTTGCGATTTCTGATCTTCCCGCGCAACCCTCTGCGGGGATCGGTGTGGTCGAGGTGCAAAAACCCGAGGTGTTTTTGAGAGATTTTGCGGTGCGCGGATGAACCCTCTGCGGGGATCGGCGTGGTCGAGGTGCAAAAAATCAAGTTTTTTTGTGATTTCTGATCTGCCCGCGCAACCCTCTCCGGGGATCGGCGTGGTCGAGGTGCAAAAGCTCGAGTTTGTTTTTTTGGCGTTTTTGCGGTGCGCGGAGGAACCCTCTGCGCGGATCGGCGTGGTCGAGGTTACAAGAGCTCGAGGTTTCTTGCGGTTCCTGATCTGCCCGCGCCTCTGCGGGGATCGGCGTGGTCGAGGTGCAAAAACTTGAGTTTTTTTGTGTTTTTGCGGCGCGCGGATGAATCTTCTGCGGGGATCGTGCGTGTCGACGCGCTCTCGCGAACCCTCTGCGGAGATCGTGCGTGTCGAGGCGCTCTCGCTGCGGCGCCGCGCGATTGTAGTGCTCGCGAATTGGCCTTTGGAAGTTGTCTCGTGGTTTGCGCGCCTGCTTGCGCAATCTCGCGGTCGCGGGTTCGATTCCCCCCTGGTCCGCGGCAGCTCCGGCTCAAGCAAAGAAGCCGTAGTATGTGGAGTGTACTCCTGGCGGCTCCGACCAGAAAATCGCAACCCTGAAGCGCAGACTTCTAGTGCTCGGAGCACCTCCACAGCTCAGCTCAGGCTGAGCGTCTTGCGCACAGATACAAGCGCCGAGCGTCTTGCGGAGAGAAACTTGCACAGAGCAACGTGCACAGAACAGCTTGAAGACAGACGTCGAGCCACTTGCGTGCAGCAGCTTGCAGAGAGCAACTTGCGCGCAGCAGCCTGGAACAATGCAGCTTGCGCAGACACTGCGATGTTTCCTCTCGTAGGACGATGACACGGGGCTCTCATGTGACCATACACATTGAGCATGGCCGCGCGCAGACACGCTCAACGCATCGATGTAAAAAGGTGTCTCCGCGGTTGGAAGAGCGCTTGGGGAAAAGTATGGAAAAATGTTTTCGGGCCAATCGTCCTCTAGTATTTTGATTTTGCTTGTCCTTGTCCGACTTTCCCCTGGGCCCTGCATCAGGCAGCTGATCAACAAGGTGAACATCTTGTCGAAGTCGCTGCAGGCCTGAAATTCACAAGCTCCTCAACAGAGTGCTCAGGGGCATGGTGGGGATGAACCCTGTCGGGTTTGTTTGTTTGTTTGTTTGTTTGTTTGTTTGTTTTTTTGTTTGTTTTTTTTGTTTGTTTGTGGCCACCGTTTCTTCTACGTGCATGCAGGCGAAGCTCCCGACCTACGATGAGGGGTCGTAGCATCCTCAGTAAGTCGGGAATGTTCGATCTGTCGGAAGCTCCTTTTGTGATGGGGCAATTGCCACACGCATTGCAGGGGCATTTCCTCCTTCGGATCCAACCTGAGAACTCAGGGACCTCCCAGAACCAGAGGATGAGATGCGGGAGATTTGCCGGGCCCGAGAGGCCAGTTGCATGGATGGGACTTGCGCGAACGGATGGGGTGGGCGTGTGGATGGGACTTGCAGCCAGGTTTGATTGCTCCACCCCAAGTGCAAAAAGCATCCGGGACTTTTGCGCCAGGTGGAGATCAATAAGATGGAGCAGGCAGCAGAGATTCTTGCAGTTCGGGGGAAGATCGGGGCTTCTCACGGGGGGATATTGGAGCGCTAGACGGAGCGGTGCGGACTACCTCTCCCTATAGTTTTGTCACTAACTTCGGGTTTGAAGTTTTGCTTCTGAGATGTAATTCCAGAGAGCCTTGAGTGTAACCATCTCCGAAAAGCCTTTTGGAAGTGACCCAGCTGCGAAAAGGAGGCAGCCTTGGCCAGGCCCGGACCGCTGCAGAGATTGCGCGGCTGGAGAATGAGGCGCTACTCAGCCAAGTCATGTTGCAGCCCACGGGTTGTGAACGCTTTGATTGATGGGACGTCATGGCGCTTGCAGTTAGCGACCCGTCGGTGCAACGGGGTGTAGCAGTTTGAAGCCTTTGCCAGGAAGAAGGAGGGGACGTGGATGAGGTGGCCATTGACGAGGAGGCCTCCGAGCCGAGAGCGAACTCCAAATTTCGATGGGCTGGTTCTGTTTGTCGGATGATCCAAATGTGAATGTTAATGTGTGAGAGAACAAATAGACGTTTCCTCAATCCAAGCACCAGCCCTCACGCTTGAGGGAACCTTGATCCGAACACTGAGCAACTTTGCAATGAACAGATGCAGCTCAATCGGCACCTGCGAGATGTTCGAAGGCAGTCAAGCTTCAGGAGCAGAAGAAAGCACGTATACTCGAAAAGGAAGCAGGGGCTGCTTCATCGGCAGAGGGAACGCGCTGAACCGGCCATTTCATGGCACAGGCAACCTTTAGTGAATACACGCGCAAGTATGATGAGTATTTGCGTGATAGGGCGAAGGCATGACGGCGACGTTCAACACGTGCTCTGCGATGTTTGTGGGCATGTGTGTTTGTCTGACAGAAACGGTCTCTAGCCTTCTTTGTGTTGTATTGCCAGGGGAGTGTGCACTAGGCTTGTTGGAGATGGGCAGCCTGTCATGGGCTTGTTCAGAGGCCATTTCACGAGGCTTTGACCAGCCCCGCCCACGAATCCACACCAACGCACCCATGGCTACGCCCCTTCTCGAGGCTAAGAAGATGGAGGAAGAGTGGCCCGCGGTGGCCTTTGAGAATCCCGCCTCGTGTTTGGACGTGCTTGCCAACACAAAGTTGATTCAACTTGATTGAATGCGGGAAACATCTGGTGGAGTGCAGATTCCACGACAAACTAAGAGGGACACTGTGGTCGAACAACGAAGGTGGATACCAAACAGGATCACCAACAATGTCGACTTTCCACATGCTGAGGGTGATGAGTACGACGACTATTATGGATATCCGCCACCTCCAGACACTCGGAACAAGGAGGCAGATCCGCTTGTGAACCCATTCAAACTTTGACACTTTGGGGTGCATTATGTGCATGATCAGGCTGCCTTCTCTGTATCTTGGACGACGGTTCGTTCGAAGGACCCCTTTGGCGGACCACTTCCCGGATGGACACCTTTAGTTGGACCGTCCATATGCCCCAAACGACATGTGACATTTGTGACAATCATCCCGGTTTTCTGTTGCAAGTCCGGGGGTCTGAAATTTGCGATGGCTGAGGACGCCCAGGGACCCTACGCGGATCCCTACGCGCATGATCCCAACGCCGGCCACGGCGCACCACCGCCGGGGCCGGCGGGGCCTGCGGGGCCGGCGGCACCTGCGCCAGCTGCGGCCTTTTGCCCGGCGCAGCTGGCACTGACCTCAGAGATCCATTCGGTTTTTTGAGGGTTCCCTCCAAGGAAAAAGTTAGCCACCAGCTCGGTGCATGCGCTCCGAGAGTTGCTCAGGCGGATTTCTTTTTGATGTGCTTGGTAGCTTGCTTCTACCAAACTCGCTCTCTAGCGTCAAACACCGACGAAAGAGTACTCAACAGCACCAGTTTGTGTACTGGGTTTATTTGGTGATTTCCAACCGTCGTTGGTTCCAATCTTTCCACAAGGAACTTTGCGACGTGACTCAGTGTGATTTCTTTTTCTTCCTTTTTTCCCGGAAGCATTGCGAAGGGTTCTTCTTCTAAAAGCGGCTGCCAACTTCACCTGCCAACTTCTCATGCCAACTTGTCGAGAGTTACTTCACCTGCCAACTTCTCATGCCAACTTGTCGAGAGTTACTTCACCTGCCAACTTCTCATGCCAACTTGTCGAGAGTTACTTCACCTGCCAACTTCTCATGCCAACTTGTCGAGAGTTACTTCACCTGCCAACTTCTCATGCCAACTTGTCGAGAGTTACTTCACCTGCCAACTTCTCATGCCAACTTGTCGAGAGTTACTTCACCTGCCAACTTCTCATGCCAACTTGTCGAGAGTTACTTCACCTGCCTTCTCATGCCAACTTTTTGAGAGTTACTTCACCTGCCAACTTCTGCCAACTGTCAACTTTTCGGCTGTTATCTCATTCTACTAAAAGCACAAGCTAAAATGTCAACTTTTCGGCTGTTATCTCATTCTACTAAAAGCACAAGCTAATTTGTCGGGTGTTACTTCACTATCCTAAAAACACAAGCTAACTTTTCTGTTCTACCTTCACATCTCGACTCTTAATTCTTCTTCTTTTTATGGCGGGGGTAGGCCCGACGGGAGCTTACGAAACGCACCCCTCTGCGGAGATCGTGCGTGTCGAAGCGCTCTCGCTGTGGCGCCGTGCGAATTTGTCTTGACCTTGGCGAACCCTCTGCGGAGATCGTGCGTGTCGAAGCGCTCTCGCTGTGGCGCCGTGCGAATTTGTCTTGACCTTGGCGAACCCTCTGCGGAGATCGTGCGTGTCGAAGCGCTCTCGCTGTGGCGCCGTGCGAATTTGTCTTGACCTTGGCGAACCCTCTGCGGAGATCGTGCGTGTCGAAGCGCTCTCGCTGTGGCGCCGTGCGAATTTGTCTTGACCTTGGCGAACCCTCTGCGGAGATCGCTCTCGCTGTGTGCGAAGTCTTGCTCTCTGCTGTGGCGCCGTGCGAATTTGTCTTGACCTTGGCGAACCCTCTGCGGAGATCGTGCGTGTCGAAGCGCTCTCGCTGTGGCGCCGTGCGAATTTGTCTTGACCTTGGCGAACCCTCTGCGGAGATCCTGCGTGTCGAAGCGCTCTCGCTGTGGCGCCGTGCGAATTTGTCTTGAGCCCGATGAACCCTCTGCGGAGATCGTGCGTGTCGAAGCGCTCTCGCTGTGGCGCCGTGCGATTTTCTTGCTCGCGAAACGGCTTTTGGAAGTTGTCTCGTGGTGTGCGCGCCTGCTTTCGCAATCCCGCGGTCCCGGGTTCGATTCCCCCCTGGTCCGCGGCAGCTCCGGCTTGAAAATCGCAGCTTTTAAGTACAAACGTAGTACGCGGAGCGTGCTCCTGCAGCTCCGGCTGGCAAATCGCAACTTTTAAGTACAGACGTAGTATGCTTCCCGCAGCTCCGGCTGGAAAATCGCAACTTTTAAGTACAAACCTAGTACGCGGAGCACATTCCCGCAGCTCCGGCTGGAAAATCGCAACTTTTAAGTACAAACGTAGTACGCGGAGCACACTCCCGCAGCTCCGGCTGGAAAATCACAACTCTTAAGTATAAAAAAATAGTACGCGAAGTACATTCCCGCAGCTCCGGCAGCACTTGCTCAGAGCAACTTGCGTAGAGCAACTTGCGCAGAGCAACTTGCACAGAGCACTTGCACAAAGCACTTGCGGACCTATCTCGGCGCGGAGAGCGTCTCCCCAGCTCCGCCGGAAAAAGAAGAAAGAACTCAGAATCGAGAAGACCGTGCGATTTTCTTGCTCGCGAAACGGCCTTTGGAAGTTGTCTCGTGGTTTGAGCGCCTGCTTTCGCAATCCCGCGGTCTCGGGTTCGATTCCCCCCTGGTCCGCGGCAGCTCCGGCTTGAAAATCGCAGCTTTTAAGTACAAACGTAGTACGCGGAGCGTGCTCCTGCAGCTCCGGCTGGCAAATCGCAACTTTTAAGTACAGACGTAGTACGCGGAGCGTGCTCCTGCAGCTCCGGCTGGCAAATCGCAACTTTTAAGTACAGACGTAGTATGCGGAGCGTGCTCCCGCAGCTCCGGCTGGAAAATCGCAACTTTTAAGTACAAACATAGTACGCGGAGCACATTCCCGCAGCTCCGGCTGGAAAATCGCAACTTTTAAGTACAAACGTAGTACGCGGAGCACACTCCCGCAGCTCCGGCTGGAAAATCACAACTTTTAAGTATAAAAAAATAGTACGCGAAGTACATTCCCACAGCTCCGGCAGCACTTGCTCAGAGCAACTTGCGTAGAGCAACTTGCGCAGAGCAACTTGCACAGAGCACTTGCACAAAGCACTTGCGGACCTATCTCGGCGCGGAGAGCGTCTCCCCAGCTCCGCCGGAAAAAGAAGAAAGAACTCAGAATCGAGAAGACCGTGCGATTTTCTTGCTCGCGAAACGGCCTTTGGAAGTTGTCTCGTGGTTTGCGCGCCTGCTTTCGCAATCCCGCGGTCTCGGGTTCGATTCCCCCCTGGTCCGCGGCAGCTCCGGCTTGAAAATCGCAGCTTTTAAGTACAAACGTAGTACGCGGAGCGTGCTCCTGCAGCTCCGGCTGGCAAATCGCAACTTTTAAGTACAGACGTAGTACGCGGAGCGTGCTCCTGCAGCTCCGGCTGGCAAATCGCAACTTTTAAGTACAGACGTAGTATGCGGAGCGTGCTCCCGCAGCTCCGGCTGGAAAATCGCAACTTTTAAGTACAAACATAGTACGCGGAGCACATTCCCGCAGCTCCGGCTGGAAAATCGCAACTTTTAAGTACAAACGTAGTACGCGGAGCACACTCCCGCAGCTCCGGCTGGAAAATCACAACTTTTAAGTACAAAAAAATAGTACGCGAAGTACATTCCCACAGCTCCGGCAGCACTTGCTCAGAGCAACTTGCGCAGAGCAACTTGCGCAGAGCAACTTGCACACAGCACTTGCACAAAGCACTTGCGGACCTATCTCGGCGCGGAGAGCGTCTCCCCAGCTCCGCCGGAAAAAGAAGAAAGAACTCCGAATCGAGAAGAGAAGGTAGAAAAGGAAAAGTCGGCTTGCAATGTAACGCCTGAAAAAAATACGTGCGCTTTACGATGCCGAAGAAACGCCCGAGAAGTTAGTTTGCGTTTTAGGATAGTGAAGTAACACTCGAAAATTTGGCTTGTGTTTTGGGACAGTGCATTTGGCTTGTGAAGTGAGATTGGGCAGTTGGCAGTTGTCATTGGCTTGTGAAGTGAGATTGGGCAGTTGGCTTTTGTAATTGGCTTGTAAAATAAACATGCGCAGTTGGATTTTGGAGTGATAGGCAGCTGACAAGAGCAATAGTAGCCGAAGCTTGGATGTCATGAGTGTCTCAGTAGCGGAGCTTGCCCAGAGAATGTTTGCGTCGACAGTTGATTAGGGCGACACGGCTTCCCGACCTGATTTATCGAGTTGTAGAAAAAAGATACATCGCATCATTTGCAGCCATGGCTCCTTTCGGTTCTTTGTTGTCAGAGCTGGGTTTTGAGAACGTGGATGCTTTCACGGTGCCTTTCGCAGACGTGAAGAAGAAGTACTTCCAGTGGCTTCGCCAGAACCATCCTGACAAGCAGGCCAACAGCTGCACGCCGCAGGTGGATCCGGAGCGAGTGAGAGCTGTCCTGGCAGCCGGACGACTTCCGTGATTTTCGTCAAGGAGACCAGTCGTCCGCTGCCTCTTCCCGCCGTGAAGAGCCGCGTGCTGCTGGCGAAGAGGATCCATGGGGATACCGGCAAACTGGTCGCTTTCCATCGGCAAAGCCTGCTTCCAAGTCGGCATCCTCTACTTCTGCGCCCAAGGCTGCGCCGCATCCTCCGGTGGATGTGGGACCTTGCTTTCACGCTCCACACTGCAAGAAGTTCTTCAAGAAGCACGGCCAAAAGACGGCCAAGAAGATGAGGGAGTACTTGTTCTTGTACGCAGCGGAGGATCGCTGCCTGACATGCTTGCGCTTCTTTGCTGACTCGCCGGACTTCGATGTTGGCTGCACCTCTTGCGGCAAGGGCGCAGAAGAATGGGCGCTAGATGGAGCTAATGGCTTCCCGCTTGACGATGACTTGGTGGACTTCTTTGGAAAGCTGAAGCTGTGATGGACGGCGGGCGGTCTGTGCGGCGCAGGCGGATCTTTCCGAAACGTCGCCGACTGGCTCTGCATTCCACAGCTCCTGGACCTTCCGGTCTGTGCGGCGCAGGCGGATTTTTTTCCCTGGCGTCCTTGAAGTTGCTGGCGCTGCCAGGGCTTTCTGCCGCACACGATTGCTGCCGACAAAAAATGTGCATTATGAGTGTCTCAGTAGCGGAGCTTGCCCAGAGAATGTTTGCGGCGACAGTTGATCAGGGCGACACGGCTTCTTTGTGTTGGTGCTATGCTTCATTTTTTGGAGGGGTGCTCCATGAGGTTGCTGTCGCTTGTCACTGCTGCTTGCACGTGCATTCATGCTCAAGGCAGTTTTCCGTGTTAGTGCTGTAGAAGGTGTCATCGCTCAGATTGCATCTTCCGAAGTGCGGATTCGTTTCCTTGGCGCACCAATCTTGTCAAAGCAGTTACAGACAGCGGGTGGCCAGAAGATATCAGAGTCGCGCGGCGCTGGCGGGTATTTCCGACGTGTCGTGTTGCCATGTCGCATTCTGGTCGCCAGCGACGTGCGCAGGCTGGACGTTGGCATGCGAGAGCGCACGATTGTTTCGCATACCCCTCTTGG